ATTTTGGGCAATTGTCCTCTGACAAATTTTTCTAAATCTGAATGGTTTTCCAATATTTCATCACAGATCTTCTAAGACAAAATAATTGCATGTTAGTCTGTCAAACCAGATGTAGTGTGTTCTGATTTATTTATATATCTATAAATAAAATTATTAAAAAATAGCATCCTCATATCTCTCAATGTTAGGATTCTCTTTAAGGCTGCTTTTACATCTTGCTTCCAACTTATTATTATATGACTGTTTCATCAGGCATTTGTTTATTTGTAATCTCCCTGTCCACGGATTTCTCTAAAGAACTAGAAAAAGTCTGTTCTGCTAGCATGGCTAATTCTTTTTGTAAATGATACAGATTTATAGTCTTGCTTTATGATCCAAACCTATGCCAGTTCATTCTTTTCAGAATCTAATTCTATTGCTTTATTATATTTTCATCATGCATTCTGAGGTGCAGCTGTGTAAAAATACCTTCATGCTCAGAGGTTCCTTTTGTAATAGAAAGAAACTTCAATTGCCACAAGACTAAAGAAATCAGCTGTAATTCAGAAGAGCTGCACTGTTTTAGCAAGATATACATTAATTTCCCCAGGGGCTAAAAATGTTTTAAAACTATAAATGAAGTAGTTAGTCCTTGTAGAATCAAGGAAAATAATGACAAACCATTTTTAATTGTTTTTGAAAAAGATCAGACTTCAGCACTCTCACCGCCTTACTACTTGTAGTGAGTTAGCTCCCTTTGGATGCCTACATCACGAGCAAATCTTGTGACAGCTGCAGCTGTCCTGCTTCTTATGCCTCTCTACTTTGCAACCAAGAATTATGGAATTTAGAAATTGACTTTTACATAATTTAATAAAATTGGTATAATGAGATTAGCTCTTTATTCCAGTATACAGGTTTGATACTTGACTGTTACAAACCTTCATAAGTCAGTCCAGAAAGTTTAAGAAATGGGGCAGGTGGGATGGAATGAGATGGGATCCAAACACCTCTATTGTAAATTCTGGAATTATATTTGTTGGCTTTATAGATTCTAAAGGAGAGAGTTTTCGGCTCAATGCTAACTCCCCGAGCTCTATATTTACGTGTTTGTAAATTCAAAAATTTGTAAATTACAAAAATACTGTTTGTTAATTTTATGCCTCAGGTTGGTACTGAATAAAAACTTATTAAGTAGATATTAGTTGGAAAGGCCTTCATTTAGACTTCTTGGCATTTTATGATGCAGTGGTGGAATTTTCCAGTAGTTGAACTGTCACATTTTAGATTACTTTTCTTTAATATTACTTAATTTAATTACTAGAATGCATATTACATAGCAACGCATGACTTCATCACCAAAGAAATGAAAATATTTTTGAATAAGTTGATTTGTCCCCAAATCTGTCCACTTCTCCAATAGAAAAAAAATGTTATCAGCTTGGTATATATCTTCCAGATATGTATTTGGTATATTTATATGTATCTAGAAAATATATGGTATTGATTGTATGTATGTGTTTTGATGAATAGTATATTGTATAAATGAATAAATAGTATATTGTTGATCCTCTCAATAACGTTTTCTCAGAGTTTCTCGGTTAGCAATTCTGGTTAAAAGGGTTCCATACCACCATTTCTATCTCAGGCACAGCTGTGAAGGAGATGAAATTCTTTCTTGGGCTCTATTATTTTGCTCATTATATCCCTTTCCCATCTTCAGTTTTCTTTTTTTTTAAAGTCTTTATATTAATTCCAGTTAGTTAACATACAGTGTAATATTAGTTTCAGGTGTACAATATAGTGATTTAACACTTCATATATCATCCTGTGCTCATCAGGACAAGTGTACTCCTTATTTCCCATCACCTATTTCACCCATCCCCCCCACCACCTCCCCTTGTAACCATCAGAGCCTTTCTTGTTTTGCCTCTTTCTTTTTTTTTTTTCTCCCCTTTGCTTGTTTGCTTCGCTTCTTAAATTCCACACAAGTAAAATCATATGGTATTTGTGTTTCTTTGACTGACTCGTTTCACTTAGCATTAATACTCTCTAGCTCCATCCACATCATTACAAACGGCAAGATTTCATTCTTTTTATGCTGAATACTAGTCCATTATGTAGATGTACCACATCTTCTTTATCCATTCATCAATTGACAGACAATAAGGCTGTTTCAATAATTTGGCTAGTGTAGATAATGCTGCTGTAAACATCAGAGTGCATGTATCCCTTTGAATTAGTGTTTTTGTATTCTTTTCGTAAATACCTTGTAGTGCAATTCCTGGGTAATAGGGTAGTTCTATTTTTAACTTTTTGAGGAACCTCCAATACTGTTTTCCAGAGTGGCTGCATCACCTTCGTTTTTCAGTCCCTCCTCTTTCTTTCCTTATCCTATCACTTAGACTTCGAGGAAGAGATTTCTGTTCTTCACTTTGAACTTAAATCAGCATGTTACTTATAACATTTATATATTAATCCTTGGCACCAAGTATAAAATAAAAAGCTTCTTTCTAGTTCAAAGAACTTCCAATACCACTAAGGCAGTGGGGAAATGTTTTAGGGAACATGAGGTTTCTTTTTTTGTCCCTTAAGTCCTACCTATTAGGTACCTACTCATTCTGTGAGGCCATGAAGCCAACTCAGCCCAAGAAGATTTTGAAAGGAAGAGTACATATTTTGAGTAGGCCTTCCGTTTGATTATAGAACCACTTGTTGGAATTCCAATTAATAATTTGAAATTATGGTCTCCTCTGTTCAGCCAGAAGCAAGGCAGTGAAGAGTTAAGAAGATTGCTCAGTATTACCAAATGAAAAGGAAACAGGTTATTTACTCTGAGAATATCTGCATCACTACGGCTGTTATATGATAAAAATGGTTGTAATGCAGTTAAGAAACTACTGGCCCTAAAAAAAAAAAAAAAAAAAAAAGAACTCTTGGGTTCTCTACCCCCACTTTGGGCTCTTCTGAGGTCATTTGGATCCCAAGCATTAAAAAAAAAATTTGACAGCTATTTCTGTGGAATTCAAATTCACCATCCTGGGGCTGTTTTTTTTTACTTTGAAGAGTGCGTACCGTCTTGCTAAGAATCAGGCATAATAGTAACCATTTTGTATGCTTTATATTTTATTAGAACCCTCAGATTTAATAAGGTGTTTACCTTATTAGGGTGCCCATTTTATGGGTGAAGACATTGAAATTTAAGGTGGCCTTCTTAGTGATTATTTCATAATTCAAACTGAGATGAAGAGAACTTCAAAGTCTTTTCCATTAAGCCTTGCAGCTTCTTTTCATATCCTTTTTTTTTTTTTTTTAAGTATTGAATGGAGGGGTCATTGAGTGGCTCAGTCAGTTAAGTGTCCACTCTTAATTTCTGCTCAGGTCATGATCTCGGGGTTATGGGATCAGGCCTGGTGTGGGGCTCTGCCCTCATCAGGGAAAAGACTGCTTGATATTCTCTCTCTCCCTCCCCTGCACTCAGGAGCACATTCTCTCCCTCTCTTTCAAATAAATAAATAAATCTTTAAACAATATTGCATAGATTGTTTTACAACCAGTCTTATATAATATTTTGGACTCTCACTCTTGGTGTCTTCTTTTTATAAAGTTTAAAAAATGGAGTATTCATAATTAGGTATGAATGTAATTTGCCGCCTTAAAAATTCCAGCAGCCAAAACCCATCTAAAGGCTTGCCGATAGGAATTTTCTTTTTGCTAAAATGCATCTGCTAGCTAAATAAAGACCAATAGTGAGAAGCCACTTAATCAAGTCTGTTCACTGACAAAACTTGTTTCTCCATTGCAAATTCTTAGATTTATGAAAGCTTCGAGTTCTTTTGAGGGATTACATAGAGTATTTCTCTGTGTCTGAACAATGTCCTAGCTGTGTTTTGAAGAGATATTATACTTTTCTTTCTCTGGCTTCATTTATTTGACATTGTATGACTCTTTTTTTTTTTTTAATTTTGGTTTTATTTTTATTTTTATCTGACATTGTTTTAATGTAATGGACTCTTGTAGCTTGGGTTTTTAGCTTCTTTTTATTGTTGTAAAATCAGTTGCTGCTACTTCAGATTATTTTCCTGTGAGGATACAATATTTGCACCAGGTGTAATTTTTGTTTATATTTCATGTTGCATTTAGCGAAAATACAGGTACTCTAGAATAACCTCCTTTTATGTTTGTATTCTTAATTAATATATTTACTCTGTCTTGACACTTAAACTCATTGAAGCAAAATCTTTTATTAGAAAATAAAATTATTTAGTCTTTTATTTCTTGCAACAATTTCAGTCATTTTGCTTTGGAAAGAGAATGCTATTTGAGTCTAACAACATATCTTAAGGTTATTAAGCATATTTATGTATAGTAAACTTTAAATAATTAGGAAATTATTAAAATATCAACTTAGTCTATTGAATTTTCAGTCAAGAATGACTTAAGCATCTTCACAAGGTAAAATACCTCTGGTATTTAGTGTGATTTCTATTACTCACACAGTGGAGCTCTGTTAGGTGAGTGTGGGTGACGATATTTTGACATGGTGAGATATAGATTACTGAGATGCCAAGACCTTGTGTGTATGTCTGTTTTATTCACTGAAACCATCCTGCAAGTATCTGTGAAATGGCTGAGGGTTAGCATTCCATATGTACTTGTGGTTGATGTTTCAGAAATACAAGCAAGAAATTTTGTGTCTGTGAGCTTCTTGGATTGAAACGATCTTCCAAAAAGTGTTCTCAGATGCTCAGATTGTTCATGGATGCACATTTAGAGAACAAAATTCCGTAATACCACTGGCAATATCACTAAGTCCACTACAACCTTTATAGTCAGTCTTTTTGCATGGTTCAGTTAAGTTCACTTCTGAAATACTAGCCAGTTTTCATTTACTAGTTGAGGTGTTGTCACAATAGCATAAGTTCTTCCATTCTAGGAATGTTAACTAACAATAACTTTTTCTTTTTTCTTTTTTTCTTTCTTTTTTTAAAATTTTATTTATTTATTTATTTTTTTATTAGAGCATCAGGGCATCGGGCCTTATCCTCTTGGAAACCATTCTTTTTGGGTCTCTGCTGCTATACTTTCCAGTAAGTAACATAATTGAATTTTAAAAATAGCCATTTGTTTTATTTTGCTCAGGTAGTAAATTTTATGTATGTGTATGTGTATTTATATATATCTGTGTGTATGTGTATATGTTTATATAAATGTATATGTATGTATATTATAGTATATATAACTATTCATATATATACATTACTTTTTTATATGTCTACATACAAGTTTATATGCCCATATCTTTATATAATAGACATATAAAGTAAAAAAGTAAAGTGGAGGTAATCATACTTTTCTTCCCAAATTTGCCAGGAGGGTTAACTGCTTAAGTGAGCTAACATAAAAAAGGTGTGCTTGATATGTATGCTTGCATATACATATGTGTATACATATAAATAAGGGTTTCCTTCTTCCCTCTCTACTTGAATCAAAACCATGAGACACGCCAACAAGTTTGTGATGAAAAATTCCAGATGGTCACGTACAAAAATAAAGTAAATAGGTGTGTGGTATTATGGCATAGATAATCCTAGTAGACTCTTCCTATCACACTAGCAACCTGTCTATAACCACAAGGTAAGTACTAATTTTCCTAATTTAATTCAGCCAATTTATATTCAGCAGTTACTGTGTGTTAAGTACTTATGCTAAACTGGGAATTTTTTGTGAGTGAGAGAAACTGGATTTCTCCTCTCAGGCAGCTTATAGTTTACAGAATGAGATGAGTCAGTACAGGCAATTACTATATAATTGAAAAAAGCCAAAAGGCTGTGGAGACTGGGTGCTGTGGAGACTCCTAGGAGAGACAACTAAGCCTAGGGAATGAAATATCACTCAACTGAGCTCTGAAAGATGAGTAGATGTTAGAGAAGAAAAAGGTAGGGCTTCCATGGCACCATGTTCTTTTTGGGTTACCTCTTACCTCACTAGCTGCTCCATTTCAGCCTTCTTTGCTGATTCTTAATCTTCTTTCCCACCTCTTACTACTTAAGTGCCTCAGGCAGCAGTCCTAGTGGAGCTTTTCTGATTCTACATTCTCCCTTGATAATCTCATCTAGCCTCAAAGCTTAAATACTATTTAAATGCAAATACTCCCAAATTCGTATCTCCAGCTTAGACCTTTCCCCTGAGCTCCAAACTCATATTCAATTACTTACTCTACAACTCTATCTGAGGGTCCACCAGAATTCCCTACCATGTTCTTCACTGAGATACTTGGTCTCCTACACCCCCAAAGTCAGTCTCCCTATCTCCACTGATGACATCCCTGTTCCACTAGTTACTCAGGCTAAAACTTGGGCATCCTTCTTAACAACTTTCTTTTTCTCACATCCATCAGAAACCTTCCAAAACATACCAAAAACCCAGCCACTCCTCTACCTCATTCAGTGCTACCATCCTGGTCTAAACCATAATCAGCCTCTTCTGGATTATTTTAATAGTCTCTCCCTGGCCTCTGTCCCTCCACACTAAACCCCCCCCCACCACCACCAATGATCTGTCTATTTTCAAAGTATCAGCTTGTTGTAATGCCCAAGTTAGACTATGCCACACCTCAAAACGTTCGAAAGGTTCACAGTTCTACTTATAGTAGAATTCTTAGAATGAGCTCCAAGACCTAACATGATTCGGATCCTGCCCCCTCCATTACCCCATTTTCTAATCTTCTTCCCCACTCAGTGTTTATAAGGTTCTTGATTTATTCAAGTCTTCTACTTCTAGAACTATATTTATTCTTAAGATAGAAATTTATTTGGATATAATCATTTAAACTTTTTCTATAAAATCATCCATGTTACTGAAGTCTAATTTACTAGTATGGAGTTATGCATGGTAATTAATAACAGAAGCAATATAATACAAAGCGTCCTTATCATGCATGGGACTGTTGCCGTATAAATGGCAAGTTGTGTATCATAACTTTTCATTTTCCCCATAGAACTATCAGAAAGATGTTTAACCCAAGTTATAGGATCACCCAATTAGGAAGTAAAAGACCCAAATGACTTCACTAATCTGAGTAATAATCATCTGAATATCTCTTGTTGTAGTCACCATCATCTTTTTCCTGAACCTCTGCTATTTAAAAAACATTTTCTATCCAGTAGCCAGAGGGTATTTTAAAATACAAAATCTAATCTGTTACTACTTCTATAGCTAGCTTCCCACTGTTCTTAGAATAAAGATCAAAACCCTTGATATGGTGTATGATGTTATATATAGTGAGGTACTTGCCCACCTCCCCAGCCTCATCCAATACCACTTTTCTTCTCACTTTCTGCCCCCACCTACTCTGACCTTCTTTCAGTTCACAAATGATACATAATCTCTCTCATGGTATATTATAATGGCTCCCCAAAAATGTCCACTGTCCTAATCCCTGGAACCTATAAATATGTTACCTTACATGGAAAATGGGACTTTGCAGATGTGATAAAATAAAGGGCTTTGAGATAGAGATTATCCTGGATTATGTAGATGGGTTCAAGGGTCCTAAGTGAAAATGAGAACAGGAGAGAGAAAACCAAAGAGAAAGTATCATGAAAAAGATTGGACTGGCTCTTGCTGGCTTTGAAGATGGATGAAAGAGGCCACAAACCAAGGGATTCAGACAGTCTCTAGAAGCTGGAAAAGGCAAAGAAACAGATTCTTCCCAAGAACCTCCAGAAAGAACACCTTGATTTTAACTCTGTAAGATCTATTTTGAACTTCTAAATTCTGGAACTGTGAGATAATAAGTCTATATTGTTTTAAGCCACTGAGTTTGTCATAATATGTTACAGCAGCAATAAGAAATGAATATACCTCTTGATATAGGACATTTTCACATGCTTTTCCTTCAGAAACAGTCCTCTTATCTTCTTTCTCCCCACCATCTTACCCCTTCTTCTGCCTAACTAACAACTTGTCTGGTCATCCTTCAGATTTCTACTTAAATATCACTTTCTTAAGAGAGCTTTCTTTCCTTGAATCCCAATCAGAGTCAAATTCCTTTTAGTAGTTTCTCATGGAATCCCACTCTCTTTCTTGACAACCCCCATCTCAGTTTGTAAGTGTACATTCACAAGTACCATTATTTGATTAATGTTATTCTCCTGCACAAACTCTAGTTCTTTGAGAATAAGGAGATAATACAGGTTTTTTTACTCACAGTCGAGTACCTGTCACCGTAGTTGAAGCACAGTCAATATGCAGTGAGTGAATTAATGAGGTTATACTTGAATGAATTTAGACCTGTACTGCAAACTAGTGGCTACTGTCCTATTGAAGTAGCTTCCAAAGACTCTGCTTGATTGTGGAAGACTAAGATTAATGATCCTTATTAATATTACTTTATTTAGTGATAACAGGCAGTAAAACACTTCTTTTTTTTTTAAGATTATTTATTTATTTGACAGACAGAGATCACAAGTAGGCAGAGAGGCAGGCAGAGAGAGAGAGGAGGAAGCAGGCTCCCTGCTGAGCAGAGAACGCGGCGTGGGGCTCCATCCCAGACCCTGGGATCATGACCTGAGCCGAAGGCATAGGTTTTAACCCACTGAGCCACCCAGGTGCCCCAGTAAAACACTTCTTAATGTTATTTTGAGATGTTAGCAAAATTTCATTTTATTTTTATTTATAAGATTCATATTTATTCAAATCAAATGGTTATATTAATGAGCATGGGTCTAAAATCTAGGAAATATTCTTGAGGCACCTGGGTGGCTCAGTGGGTTAAGCCTCTGCCTTCGGCTCAGGTCATGGTCACATGGTCCTGGGATCAAGCCCCGCATCAGGTTCTCTGCTCAGCAGGGAGCCTGCTTCCCTTCCTCTCTCTCTCTGCCTGCCTCTCTGCCTGCTTGTTATCTCTGTCTGTCAAATAAATGAATAAAATCTTTTAAAAAAATAAATAAAATAAAATAAAATCTAGGAAATATTCTTAAAGCCTCTTAAATGGATGAAGTACTCTAAAAAACAAGAATATATGAAAGAAGAGTAAGTTTTATGCTGCTAAATGTTGAAGACAGTTTTTGAAGACCCTTTCATTGACTGGTATACAATTTTGAAAGATATCTAATGATGATGTCAGACACAAAGAAAAAAAGGGGAAAGAAATGGAAATTTAAGAGGAATGTAAAGATAGCACTTCTGCTTCATAATTCTGATATACATGAGAGGGGGGAAAAAAAACAGAAAGGAAGACTTACCCAAAAAATTCTGTCTAACAGAAACCTCATTATATTGACTTCATGCTTAATGAGCTATCTATTTTGTCTTTTATAATATATATTTTTCTGTAACTGCTTGAGATATAAATATATAGTTCCCAAGTTTATACTGTGTACTTTGGTTTCAAATAAGTTAGTGTTTATGTCCTGAAGACAGAAGGGGTCAGGTTAATTAATGAAGATTTGGATGGAGCATAAGATATAGGGGAAGAAAGGAGATTAAAATATACTATTGATTGAGTCTGGTAAGGAAAGTAATTTTATTTTAGATGAGAGAATGAGAGATGATGTATCAGAAATTGATAGGAAACTTTTTGCTACATAGAGTGTGTATATGTGCATGGGTACATGTGCATAAAACATTCTTGACAAGAGGAGTAAGTAATTTGGTTATTGGACCAAGGCTCATTGACTTCCCTGGGTTTTGCAGATTCAAATGAACTTTGTAACTTTTGGCTAGACTGTCTGCTGCAAGGAAGATCTCTGTATTAAGTGATAAAGACGATTCCATAAACCTAATATAGCCAAAAAGTCTAATCATGTGATGATATAAATGTGATCTACACTTTCCTTATTTATTAAATATCTTACCAACTTTCTCTGTTCCTTGTGTGGTCCTTACCAAAATTGCTTGTGAAAGTTTTATGGGGCTTATAGTTTTTTGTTGTTGTTGTTTAAAGTGTGTTTGAATAAAGGAGAATTGTTTTCAGGGCTGGGTAACTCCATGGAAGGAGGCTTTGGGTATTCACTGTTCTGCTGAGTTGTTATGCAATGAGCCTTTTCTTCTTTTTATGCTGCATATTGTTGTTCAGATTTGCAAG